AAACGTTCGGGTCCTCCTAGAAAGAAGTTTCGCCTGTCCCTGTCAAGTCGCGGACGAGAAACTACTATTGCTGTTCCACAGCCCCCTCATACATCTGTGAGAGGGGGCCTTCTGGAGAGATCAGATTGTTCATTCAGTACGTATACCTTACATCTTTGTTAATGATTGTTTTACAGGTATGAATTAAGTAAAATCTAAAAAATTTTAGGGAAAAGTAAGACCCATGCTCATTTTTCTTGTTTGTTAACTCTCTAAAATAGCGTTTAATTTAGAAACTAATAAATAACTGAATTTGTGAATAGCTTATTTGTATCAAAGTAAACCAACAAGATAATAGGTATAAATTTTACTCTCCCCTAAATTTCACTCATTCTTATGTATCTTCAGAAAGCGCTGATGTGTTTCGATTACATAATGATTTGGTTTGCGAAGGTACAAGCAAAATGTTGAATGGCTATCGAAATCAACTGAGCAATCACCAGGATGGAAGTTACGACATGCCTGGTACCAATACAGAAGGATTGAAGATAGCCACTTTATGTAATCTAGGAAATACCTGCTTCCTCAATAGTGTGTTATATACTTTAAGATTTGCACCTTCTTTCCTGCACAATTTACATCACCTAGCTACTGATTTGTCTAATCTAAATGACAAACAACTCCAAACAAAAGTAAGTGCTACGTAAATAGGTATAATAGATGCACTTATTTAAACATATATACTGTATATTAAAAGTTTTAATTTTATTAATATTCTTGCAGGCCAAATCCTCTTCATTAGGTAGAACTGGCGTATCGCTAACATCGAGCAGTAGTCGTAGCTGGAGCAGCAAAGATCTATTGGCCCTAGCTGGACCGACAGCAGAAGCCAACAAACCTCGTATTCAAATAGCTACTGAGAAATTGCACGAGGTCTTCATAGCATTGCGAGCACTAGAGGCAAGAGAAAATAGCGAGCCGTATCAACCAGACGCCTTCTTACAAGCTCTTAGGTGTGTATATCATTGTCGGAAGGTGATTTGTTTCATGTTTGCATTATTCTATTGAACATTATAGAGAGGTCAATCCGATATTTGAGGGAAATCAGCAACAGGATGCTCACGAGCTTCTAGTCTGCTTACTTGATAACATCAGGGAGACCTTTCAGTTGTTGGTCAGACACAGAGAGAGTCAGTTTGGTCAGAGCAATGGTGGCTTTCCCGACTTTACCATGGATCATTCGACAGTGGACGCTCAGTCAGAGAGTAGCAGCAGTTCCGGAAAAAGGAGCATTCGTAAATCTAGAAAGAAAAAGAAGATCACGAGCAGGGGAAGTTCGGTATCTCTTGTACAGCCAAATGCGAACGGTGTCGCGACGTCTGCAAGACCGTACGAGAATGGTCATGCGGAGTTCGCTGAGAGTAATGGCGAGATAGGAATGCGCAAACCAGAGAGCAAGAAGTGCTTTATCTCGGAGGATTTTGAAGGAGTTAGCTTGTTGCGCACAACATGTCTTGAATGCGAACATGTCACAGAACGGAAAGAAACATTCTGCGATATATGCGTGCCCATCGACATCGATCGTTCGAATGAAAAAGGTATTTAATCCATCAATTCCGAAATCCGCTTGTAACACGCCTGAAATATAACAAATGTTTTTAAACTTTGTCTAAGATAATCGATAATTGAAGTGTTTTACATTGCGTATAATTAATCCGCGACTTATAAGAACGTGCTATTTCTTCACAGACGATGATGGTCGATCAGTCGATAGCAGCGAAGTTTACAAACGTGCTGTAGTGACAAGCGAGCTGCTTTGGGGCAGGGATAAATATTGGTGCGCACGTTGCCTACGATATAACGAAGCTCGTCGAGCCGTATGTTTTCCCTCCTTGCCGAGACTCCTTATTTTACAATTGAAGAGATTTTCCACTGCTGCTGGGTAAGTGTGCGACTATAAATATAATGAAAAGTAATGTAATATTGGAAAAATATAACTTAATGTTTATATTAGATTAAATATAGCAAATAGTTTCTATATTTTAAACATTTATTTAAATAAAATTTATAAAAATTACAAACATTAAAAAATCGCAGATTTTCTATACATTATAAAAAATGATATCATACATTGTGACTTTGTTTTCAATCTTCTAAATTGTTACGTCAAAAGCTTTATTCCGCATCGTAATCGAACGTACGTTTCAGTTCGATGGAAAAGATCAACAATCACATGCCGACGCCGCTCACCTTGCAATGCTTCTGCGAGGAGTGCAGCAACGATCATGGGACAGGAGCCGGTAATATCGAGACACGGCACGTATACAAACTATATTCTGTCATAATGCATCAAGGCGCAACGATGACTGCCGGGCATTACGTCGCCTACGCGCGCCTGCCGGATGAGTCCGCGTACGCGGAATACTTCCAGTGCGATCGCGACAGTAAGCGGCAGAATCCTGGTCAGAGCGGTTCAGCGAGCACGAACTCGTCGTCGTCCTCCTCTTCCTCCTCCGACAAAGCATCAGGCATACTCAAATGCATATTCAGAAGCAAGCCCAGCGCGAATGAGAACAAAGAGCAGTTGGTGAACAGAGTCGGCTGTCGCAGTATGGATTGTTGCGGCATCAGGCGCAACAAGCAGGGCGTCACCTGGCTGGAATGCGACGACGAGGCGGTGCACGTAATACCATTGCGAGAACTCGAGGATAAACTGGCGCCGAATCCGCGAAACTCCGCCACCCCTTATCTCCTGTTCTACGTGAGGTCGACGACGTAAGTTCTGCCCGCGTTAGAAGTATTATATCAAAATGTCTTCGTTTGGAATATCAAGCGAAGCAGCAGCAAGTACGATGACAAAACGGGCCTCGTTCTTTCCACATCCCTCTCCTTCCCCTCGCCTTCTCCGACAACCGCGCTGTGATGTATCGCACATTCCAGACTTCCCGAGTTCTTCTTCCTGCGTACGTGCCGTATCGGGCTTTAGACGCATGTAATTTTGTAGGGTATAAACTGTCTACCGCCAAAAAAAAAAGAAGTATATTATGTACATTAGATTGTCGAACGGTATGCAATTTGTCGACCTGTATATGTAAACGAAATACCGTTGAGCTCGACATAATGAGTCGAGGAGTTTCGATTCCGCGCGTAGACGATTTAGCCTTAGTTGGGACGTTTTATTATTGAGTTATCTGTGAAATAATAAAAAAATTATGTATTCTTGACACATCTGTGTACATGTCATATCGCGAGATGGAGGCACCTGACCCAACCTGATAGCACTTATCGCCACGCTCGACTTTATACCGGTAGACGTCATTGCGACATAGCTTGAATATTTTAACGTCGTTTATTGCCAACGTCCATCGTTCCCTGAATTCTTCTCGATGCGACATTATTAATCGATTACGCGTTGAAAAGTAGCACGCAATTCAATTTCCACTCGTTGCGAGCGTAGTAAAATTGAACGAGGATTCTTCGCGTGACATTTAATCAATTTTGCGTTACGATGTAGTCTATAGAAACAACTGTCAATATAATTAGTAGAATGTACACGTTTTATTGGTGGTTGTTTTTTCGAAATAACTACTTTTGCGAACTTTTGTGAACAGCCTTGGACGAACTCGGCCGAATTTGTTCCTGCGCGCGCGGTCAGTCGTATGTACATATGCTGAAATATTTGTATGGTGTCAACTCAATCATACGTGGCTATGTACATCCATATATCGATTATTGTCATAGGGGGTCAGTAGTGGAGTAACGTTCCACCTGTCAGTCGAACACAGCAGTTCCCACTACTTTGCGCCGTGATACATTCAGTAGTTCGTATCTCTTAGGTGGAGCACGTTCTTACACGGCTATGTTCTCGTCCACACTCTTCGTGTAAGGTAAAAGGTAAGGTGGATATAAAATAACAGAATAAATTTTACGATTAAACGCCTCGGGATTTTGTATTTAAAATATTCATCCTGCGATGTTAGTAAGATGTGTACTACACAAATGAAAACCTAATTAGAGTTGAAGGATTTCATTCTTAATATCTCATTTCTCAATTGATTTCGGAATATTATAGTACCAGTAATTTTTTGTCGATACACTTTTTTTTCCTATTTTTTTTGAAATCCGTATTGATGAGAAGTAGTTGATATTAAATTCCTTGCAGTAAACGATATCTACATTAATGTTTGATATATTTCTTTATGATTCATGAATTTTGGGCAAATGGCTGACCCACATTATTTTATCGCGCAATCAAACCAGTATTATTATTAATAAACTTCTTATAGATCTATTTAACTCTTTATTATTTTATAACTGTGTTGAAATTTCACAGTCAAAACACTTAGAATCATTTAATAAGTTTTCTTTATAATTTCCGAGTACACAACGAGTTCGAGACACATTCATCCGTAATTAATAAACATCGAATTCATTATCATTATGGTGAGTAAAGTGAACTTAAACAAAATAATCTATATATTGATGTGAACACAATTTGCATAATTGAAATCATATAAATCATTACATAATTACACAATTTTTGATAAAGGATTCAACAGACACTTAAAATATGCAAATTTACCCTCGTTTTCTTCAGCATTGACATTTTATTACAAAGCAAAATCCCAGAAATTTCATGCTTCATCATGGCACTTATATATTATATTCACATTCTGCTCCACTGAACGAACATAATCGATATACCAGCTACATTCGCGGCATCGATAAATGAATGTTACAATGTGGCATATCTGCGCACTGCTCACGAAACGTCATTTTATCGTTAGCGAAGCGAAAATACTTTGTTTCCGTCGTGAAACCATTTTTTGACGCTATCGAGAACTGAATCAACCCAAATACGTATTTTGCTCACAAAATGCCGGCTTTTCAAGTCTTCGATGTTTAAAGTACACGGGAAGATCCGCAGTAGGTCACTTATCACCACGTGTAATCGCCTTTGAGTCGTAACATAGTGCACTGTCTCGTGAATGATATACTTATGCAACAATAGAATGAACGAGGCATGAGAAAAAAAACATTACATGTGTTATTTGTCTGGAAAATCAATATCGCGGAAGTTGCCAAGTTAACGAGCTGTAACAATAAAAATTATCATTCTTTGTGGAAGTTACAAGCATTTTAATGTACAAGCATAAAGTTAAACTGTTTCTCAAATTTTGTGTGCATAATACGTTGTTTTCATCTATTATACAAATGTAAATGCTATAATATTTTTTATCTTTTCACTACATTTTTCACAAATATTCACTTTAATAAATTAATAAGAAATTCATTTGTTGCATTCAATAAAATTATTTACATCACTCTATATGATTGTTAGTATTATTTCAAATATTTCCTGAATAGAAATAGAAAGTTTGCACTGCGCTTTACAAAGTTTTATTTGCACAATTACTTCTAATCGCTGTTGTATTTATTGCAGACGTACTTAAATCGAATTAATTGTCATTATGAAGCACCAGCAAGTAACCGTGGATATAACAAACATGGTGTTCACTGCCTTCTCTTATTTGGCGCTTGCTGGAGCGGTCTGGATATTTCTGCGGCTCATTCACGCCTGCTTTTGGTTGCCGAAACATCTGAAAAGGCAAAATGATGTTCAAAGAATGTTGCAAGATAAGGTAAACGAGAAGTTTATATCAATTCGATTGCCTTTTTTCAAACAATGCATATACACATTATTAAAGACACTATTCTTATAACATTAATTAAAGTTAGTTGAGATTTAATTGGTCTTCTTGTAATTTCGAATTTTGAAAGAGGCAATAAAGAAGCTGTCAATTTTAACATGTGCTTATTTAAACGATTCTGTAAAAAGCAAATTAATTATTTTGAATTTGATAATCTCACAGGTTGATAGCTACGAGAAATATGTGTTAGAATGCGAGGAGAAGGAAAAGACGGAAATGTTAGACGAAATCGACGACGAGAAGAAAAGTCTCGAGATGTCGGAGAAGTGGAAAGAGCGACGGGAATGCCTAGACATGTTGAAACGAGAGCTGGCAAGAGTTCGCGAAGGTAAGGACATGTCCGATTGGGACGCTTTGCTGGATGAGGAACTGAAGAAGCACGCGGAGGAACTGGAGGCGGAGGAGGAGGAGGAGAATGCCAAAAACGGGGCTAATAAAGAGAAAAGTGACAGTGAGAAAGAAGGCAAGAAAGTCGAAGTGGATACCGAACTAAAAAAGGAAAAGTAAGAACTGTCGAGTGCCTTAAAAGTGCCTTACTGAAACTGTACAATCGCTTTACGATAATTCATTTTAATACGTAAAGGAATATTTATGTGAAAATTTTGATTAAACCATTTTTTTTTACTAAATGCTCGTATAGCGCGCAATAATTAAGTGATTGAAAAATGTTTTAATACAGCTCGGCTCATTGTCAGCAGAATTTTAAGCGTGATATATTACTATTTACTTTACTGACAATCTAACTTTATTCACAATTCAATTTAATTAACGTTTAATTAAATTAATATTTAACACAAATTACATGTAATTGAGATTGCAAAAGTTACATGTAATCAATGTAAAAAGTATTACAGTAATAATCGCGTTACAAAGAGAGAAAAGTAGTTTTAAGTAAGTGCAAATATAAATGTGGTGTTCTTGAAACAAAAGTTAAAATTGTACAACTGTTATTGTTTTTGTTAAAGTACAAAAAAAAAGATTATTTCTATTGAAACAAAAGTTATAATAATTGTAAAAAGTTATGATTTTTTTGCATGGTTATTTAAAAGTAGAAGTGAAATTTAGACGGATTCACTTCACTGTTGTTGCCATTACTGCGATCAATATGCAGAACAAATCGTAAACGCCTACCTCGACAAACCTGTGCCTGCATTTAATACGTGTCACGTATATCGACATTTTACAATATGCAATTAATAATCACTAATTAATTTAATTGTCATAAAGCGCAGCGGCGCTTTCCGCAAGAGAAGTTTGATCGTAGATAATGCAATTAATATCATATTTGTTCACATATATAATTTATCGTGACGAAACAGGCGGAAGGTTTAGCGGCGTTACATTTATTTCTATATTTAAGCGTGTGAATATTTTATGAAAGATGTAGATAAATAGATAGATATATATATATAGAAAACACGTCCGTTTTTGCATTACGAAATGATGAGATCAATAAGAATTATATGAAAGAATTATATAAACCGTGCAGTATACAACGATTTATATGACTTGTATTCAGTTGTTGACTCTGTGTTTTTATATTATATATATTATATCACCTTTATTGTAGAATCAATAAAACGATAAAAAATTAAAAATTGAAATATTCGAGAATGTGATTTTTTAATATACCGATGACTTTTAGGTTAATCCATGAATAATTTATTTTGGTGAGAGTTAATCTTTGGTTTATTACGAATGTTCAAATAATTTACTGGATTTCAATTTCAACTTTCGTTTTATCTAATTGGAGCACCTGCGCGTCTAACGTAAGATCTGTTCTTTTTAGCTGAAACTAGTGCAGCTAGTTCATCTAAAAAGAACACACCTCTCGTGTGAATCGTCCATAAGAGTATTTGCTTGCCGACTGTTTCTAGCTTAATGTTTCAGTTTTGACATTTGTCGTATAGATGGCGACAGCAGCGCGATTTAATAACTTGTGCGGTGAACCAATCACAGCAGTTGTCAAACGGAGGGCGCTGATTGTGTATGCGTGCGTTGTGTCAAAGTCGGAGCGAACGACCCGCTCTGCGGGATAACAGCGTCCCCGTTGTCGATTCCGTTGTCGTCGTTCGTGTCTCGCGGCGTGAATCGTGAAAGCGTGCGAAATCGTAGATTCGCATTGCGTCGCCCTCGCGCGCGTCCGCGGCGATGCCGATCACGGAACGGCGCGTCGCGATCTCGTGAGTGCACACTCGTCGCATGTACAAGCCTGTCGCGAAACTGAAGAGGACCGGCGGCGACCGGAGCCATGCCGCGGCGCATCTCTCCACGAACGAGACGAACGTCGACAGCGATGATGACTCCACGTCGTCCTGTCAGCTAGGACACGCCGTCGCCAAGTAAGTAAGTGCTAAATCCAAACAGTTTTTTTGCCTTATTTTGTCGCAAGCGCAAAGTTTTTTCGCGACGCCGTTCACCATAATTCTCGCTACCGTTGCGATACCAAAGTGAATGTAGACACGGAAGCTTCGGCGTGTTCCTTTTTCTCATCGATTCTATTTTGATTTCGCTTCGTCACTATTAATAACAACTAACTTTGTATTGCAAACGGTAAGTGTCGTCAATTGACATGCGCAGTGCAAGGATTAATTTTATCTAGGAGAAGACGGGTGGCGAAAATGCCTTGTATCTTGAGATTTAAATGCGTTACCTATGCTAAGCTGTCGCGTGTCTATTCTTTATGATTCTTTATCCACATTTCCGTATACATATTTTAAGAGCGTCACGCAAGAAATCAAAGTTGCACCGGCGTGCGCCGTTCGCGTGTAAGGTTATGCATCCCCTTCCACCCTCTTGTCTCTTTATTCTCTTGCGCTTATTGTTGCTATATTTTATTACCTCGAACGCAATTCTTCATAAACACGTTTGAGATATATACAACATACTTTAAAAGATTCATGAAGCTGAATATAAAAATAATATTTGTTTCAATTTTGTGAGGGTTATGCAAATGTAATGAATTTAATTTATCTGACTTAACTAATATTGTTTCTAATATTACTTACATATTTTATGATATTAGCAAGAATAAAAAATTTATAAATTTTTAAAAATATGTAAATGTACATGAGTATCGAGATATATGTAAATAATAATTAATTGTATATAAATATCGAGGAAATATGAAAAATAAGAGGGAAAAAAGGGGACGAGGGGTTAAATAACAATAAAAAAATCAATTTTTAGCACGTGATGCATTGCGAGTATTATATTATTATACGGCCTTTTCGCCTTGCACGTACAGGTGGGAGATCGATGCGGCTTGCGTGCCTTTTGACGATCTCGATGCAAAATCTCGACTTAGAATTGGTTAACAAAACGTGAGAAGGTCAAGGATTTTTGCGTGACCGTGTTTCTGTAACGGAAAGGACGAGACTTATCTTGTAATATTTTTGGTTCACACAATTCGAGACCATTCGCAAAAATAAACCGCACTTCATGTTTCAAAGATCAAGGTTGGATTTTAATTCGAAATTTTACAACTAAAATCTAAATTTTAAATATCAAATTTAAAACTCATTTTAAACCCGCTGATAATTAAACCCGAGGCGAAGAGTTATTTTTTTTATTGAAGAATCTGGAATCTTTGAATGGTGTGAATCGAATATGTAATAAAATCTTTATTGATGTAGTAATTAAGAAAGAATATCGCGTAAAATACATTTGAAAGAGCTGACTGAAAGAGAGAGAAAGAATTACATAAAATTACTATTATAATACTTTAATATTTTTTGATATAATGTGATAACAATTTTTTATAGCAGCTTTTAAATCTTATTAATTCTTTTTTATTTATTCAATAATACAATACAGTATTGAGTATTAATTTATCAAAATCTTTTAATTTTAATTTTTAATTATCTCAACTGTGAAAATTTCCGTCAAATATTTTTACTGCCAAATATTCATTTCTCAGACAGTTTGATGTGAAAAAATAAAGCGATAATTTCGCGTTATTCTGTATATACTCAAGTGTAAAGGATAAACACGCGCAAATTATCGAGTGTAACATCTATTTGAAGCAGACGTATCGATTCTGCGCAATAATGTTCCCGTCCGGCGTTACGCATTAATCAAGGCATTGTCGCACAGGTTCAATGATTTGCGAGAATGAGAACTTTCTGCATAGAATTTCATTACGTGAACAATAAGAATCACACATGTCCGTCAGGTGATCGGCGCGACGACGAAGGTCGGTGACCGATGAACTCTGACCGTATGCATGACGTCATCGATCGTGAGCTCTAACCGCGGAATCTATTTTTATTCTAATGAAGGTGTTACAGATTCATCGACGTGTTAACGTATACGAGAAAAATAAATTTTCCAATTATTTGTTCGTTGTGAACTTTTCCTGACGAAAGATATCTTATGCTAGAAATAAAAGATTTTTGCGAATTAAACTTGTCAGAAGTATAAATGGAAAATAAAACTTTGTTTTTAGGTTAATTACTGTTAGCTTTACTTAGACAAATTTTAGTTGAGACTTCCTTGCAGATATTTAATGTAAAAAGTTTGCACCATAACAACTAATAATCTTCTTCATTTTCGTTAAGCTAATAGGAGGAGACATGGAACAATATTATTTGAATGGAATATTTTGTAATGTATTATATTAATATATTTAGCAAATCGTAATATGCCAAATATTATACTATTGTATGATTTATAATTGCTTGCTAATATTTTATTTAGTTGCTATATTGATCAAATTCAAAGATTTTAAGAAAAAGTTATTTAAAATAACTAAAATATATTTATTTAAAAAACGAAGGCAAATATTATTCGTAATTTAACATGTGGATGAAGCTGGCGTATTATTTTATGGAAATTTATAAATTTTGAGAATTTTGGTTTTATTTTTAATATTTTATTATTATTCATAAAATATAAATTTTTGTTAAAATGTTTAAATATATTATATACAGAATCACGCGAAACACTCTTCACTGTTTGTTTTATTTATCAGAAATTATAGAATCATTAAAAAGAAAGTCAGAATGCCCAATAGCTTTGAGTTTTCAAAAATAATATATTAGCTTTATATATTTACTATTACAAGATTTTTATAATGACATTTTTGGTAATTAGAACAAATATAAAAATTCACAAAATTAAAAAAAGATAAATATATTTATAGTTAAAATTTACTATAAATTTCTATTTGCTAAAAATTTAGTAAACGATTTGCAAGATGATTTTTTAAAATTGATTTTAGTTCTTTTTCTTTATCGCTCGCTGTTTTTCACAAAATTTTACTATTATACATATATGTTGGTTTACAAAAGTTCGCGTCCGAGATGGAAAAATTGCGAAAATAATCATGCGAACGGATGTTACGCCGAAATCGTAGTTATGTTTTCGTAATTTCCGTCGTATCAGAATTTATTTTCCCCGGTGAATGTTACTCAAGAGTGGGCTGAATATATCCGGCATCGATAATTTCCGCTAGTCATCACTTGATCCCTCGCGGCGCTGACTGTCACATTAAAGTTGGATTGAAGCGACTTGTCCCGTTATCGATGTGTTATACATTGTTTTCCATATTTTGGCGAGTGTACGATAGCAAACGTTTATCGTATCCGAAAGTGACCGTATTGCAAAAATGATGCTGATAAGAATTTCCGCGAAAACTCCGATTATGCACGCGGAAAATCTTCGCGACGTATGTACGGTTTATGAAAGTTCGCGTTCGGGAGTGAAAAACGCGGGAAGATCGTGATCGATATATATATGTATGAACAAATTACGCCGAAATAATTGTGCCTTGCAATTGTCGTCACGTCGGTCGCGTATGTGTTTGAAATATTTAAAGAACTTGGACGTGGACTTGAATCGAGAGTCGAGAATACTGTAGTCGCTAAGTGACCATGTTAGACAGCGGTAAATCTTGATTTTCTAGTCGTATTATATACTACGCACATACGTGTTAT